TCCACATGTTTATTTTAGTGATATGAAGGGTAGCAGTACAGTTGATCTGCAGAGTTCAGACAGCGTTACTATTCAGATGATGTGTTTTACCTTTCCAACACTGCAATTCAGTTGCAATTTAGTGTTTAAGTGTCTGAAAATGTCCCAATTTTTCTTGACTTCTGACCGCACATTTTCAAGGAAGCTTAATCTGAGAATCTGTGCAATAGAGTCTAGAGCAGCTGTCTAAGGAGTTTATAATTTTGAGTCTTAATACATTAAGACTCAAACTCCTTAAAAGCTGCCCAATATTTAAAGCAATATAAAAGGATGTAAACTATGAAAAAAAGCTTAATTAAATATATTAAATGCAATTAATGAAGTATACAATATTTAGATGTGAGAGGGAAATCAAGTAAAACAGATATAGAGAAAGTATTTGTTTTTTTTGGTTTGAGTTCTAAAGTTACATTTTGATTCTTGTTAAAATATAACTGTCGGCACTTCCAGATGTGAGCTTGCTTATCTGGAAGCTACCCTGTTTCCTTCTCCCTCTCCTTAACTTGATTAAATAAGTGACTGAAATGACGTATCTTGTTAGGGGGGGAAACAACAAGAAAGAGGAGGATTTAATTATGCTTCTGTCCTCAGTAAACCTTCTTCCACTGCAGCATTCAAATTGTTTTCTGTGGTTCATGTGGGTGGTGGGGAGGAAGAAAATATCCTTCTTTATATAAAACAATCAAATCAAATTATTTAATGAGTCTTTTCCATTAATGACCTGGCATTGGGGATTTAGAAAAAAAAATGTGGTGGAATAAGCTTGAAGAATCAAATGCACTGAAAAACATTACATTACCGTCATTGTTTATGCCACATGGTGTTTAAGCCTTGGCCTGGTCACATGCATTATAATAATGTCTTTGTTTAGTACACTCTTGTCATGCTCAGAGATAAGATCACTCCAATCAAGGGGTTAGCTATAACCTTATGTAACCATGAAAGGAGGAAGTAGAACATGGAAGTAGAAAGCAGATTTGTTTCAGAGTTTGTTTGTTCTTTTAGGGCACTACAGGCCAGAGCCTCTATCCTCGTGTCACCTCTAAATCCCAAATCACTTACCCTTGAACGCTGCACTAAAATAGACTGCAGATGGAGCCTCATGACCATCACTAACATATTTGTGATTTATCTGATGTTGTGGAACATCTTTTGTATGAGTGAAGAACAGATTATTATTATTAGCTCTAAAATTATCATGATTGCTTGAGGGCGGTGTGATAAAGCAGGTTTTCCATCTTATGACAGGGTTGGTGGTTTGTTTCCAATGGCAGAACACTTTACGTTGCACCTTGCAATTTGCATGGCAGTGTGTGAGTAAGTGTATGAGCCCTTGATTATGTAATGACATACGGTCAAGGCCAAAAGAGGCCTTTTTAATATTGGTCATATTTTATATGTTAATACAGCTGTGGTCACTAGTTTAGATGCACTTATCATGGGCATGGATGAGAGGTGGTGCAAAAGTTTGAATTTATGCATATACATTCCTTCGAATACTTGGTTAAGTGTTCCTTAGCAAGCTGCACCATGGCCAGAATCTTTTTGGTTGCTGTCTGCAAGCTTGTGGCATAATTCTGGTTGGGTATTTGACCTGTCTCTTGGCGAAATTTCTAGAGTTCACTTAAATTGGTTTGTTTCTTGGTGCACATCTGGATGGAGGCAAGGCTATTCCACAAGCTTCATGTTAGCTTGCATTTTGAGTCCAGCCTGCCTCATTGGTTATGACAGTTTTGATGTGTGTTTGGGATTATTGTCCTGTTAGAAAATCCAACTGTATCCAAGTTTGACTTTCTAGCTGTTGATTTGAGGTAAAGTTGAAGAATTTGGAGGTAGATCTCCTCTTTTATTATTTCATCAACTTTGTGCAATGAACCAGCACAACTGGCAGTAAAATAGCTCCAGAGCATGATGATGCCACCTCCCAAGCTTGTTAGTTGGTGCATCATTTTTAGGTTTGAAAGCTTGACCTTGATCTTTCTGAAACATACCTAATGCCTTTGTGCACAAATGGTTCAACCTTTGTCTTATTTGTTGTCCATGTGGGCAGCTGCAAATTTCAGTTGAGCTTGAAGGTGTTCATTTTTAACAGGGGCTCCTACTTGGTTGAGACCCTTTCAGTCTCAATCCAGTAAGTGTATATATCTCATTGTATTTCTTCAGGGATAGGAATCTAGAATCGGCTTCCAGTAGTCCAGTTCCTTGGAACTGTTAGTATGCTTGACTATGATCCTGCTTTCCAGTTCCAGTTGCACTTGTGGTTCTTTGAGCTGATTTCAGTTTGTGTGTCTGAGGAGGTAAATAGTGTTTATGGACATTACTTGTATTTTTACTGCACAAAATGATGAGTAAAGTGCAAACTGCATCCAGTACATCAAGCACAACAGTCGCATTATGCTGCTAACATAACTTCACCTCGCTGCAAGCATCTACACCAGTGATGTCCAAACCTCTAAGCTTCGAGGACCGGTGTCCTGCAGGTTTTAGATGTGTCCTTGACTTAAATGGCTAAATTACCTCCTCAACATGTCTTGAAGTTCTCCAGAGGCCTGGTAATGAGCTAATCATTTGATTCAGGTGTATAGACCCAGGGTGAGATCTAAAACTTGCAGGACACTGGCCCTCGAGGCCTGGAGTTGGCCAAGCCTGATCTACACAGACAGCATGCTAACACAAAGCTAGCCAAGAACCCAGCGCAGCCCCGGCACAGGAGTCAGACTCTGAACTTCAACAGGTAACAAACAGATGAGCAGTCAGGCTGCAGCCTCTATTTCTACCTGAAAAATGTTCTGTACAATATATTACCTTTTTTGAGTAATGACCCCAATGGTGATCACAATAAAGAGGGGAAATACCTCCAACATGAACAAACATTTGACCCACAACATGTCATTAATTTGCATGAATGTCTTTGATATGCTGCTTAGCGATGTTTACTATCAAAGTAAAGAGAATAAGAGAATCGATAATGAATCGGAATCACTAAATTCTTATCATTTCGCTTCTGTAGTTCTCATTGGCTCTGCTCATTTCATTTCTGACCTCATTCTGACCAAAATTTCAAATAATGCATTAAGTGTATCTGCAAGTAGTCTCCAAAATGCTCATCTCAAGAACACAGCTCTGGCTGTGTGCACAGAAGCCCTGCCGACCTGCTGTTCAAGCCTTCTGTTTTTTGGAAGGCAAAACAGGTTATGGTAGACCATGATAAACTGGGAGGCCTGCACCAAGACCAAGACCAAGCACAAGGTAAATAAGGTTTATTTTGAACTGTTGGTCATGCAAAGCTACCCTAATAGAGTCCAAGAACATAGTTATGGAACTGGAAATGAGCATATTAGGTCCCTTTTAAGGACTTTCTAGCTCTTAGATTAAAAGGCATCATTTACTATTAACTTCATGTAGATATTTCAGGCTCTGATTAAGGCATTTATGTGTTGATGCATGTACTAGCTAGTTAACGTCTCTGCTCAACATTCACTATGTTGTCCCCGATTAGCAGGATTAAGAACCCAGTTTTAGCCATGGTAGCACATGAAAGTGGACCTAGCTGCAGCAGCTCAGTCTTAATCGCTAGTACAGATCAAACTCTAATACTAACCCTTGACTTGGTTGGGCTCCTGCAAAACATTTGTATGATTGCATAACTGGTCTCATGAGAGGTAAAGATATAACTGTTCCTGTTCACATACCAGAAAATCCAGAACATGAGGGTTAAATTAACTGTACGTCAGACTTCCATATTATTAAAGAGGAATTTCGTGGATTTTATTGAATCTGTCGAAGAACTTAGTATTTCCATGTAAGTTTATAAAAAGTTACAAACAGGCTTTTGTACAAAATTACATCACTTCAGTATCATGCTCTGGAAGTTAAATCCATTTACAGAGTGGAAACTTGCAATTACAATAAATGATTTTAAAATGAATATCTCTCATTTTAAAATATGTTCATGCACCAAACCCTCTCTCTTTTTTGGTTTGTTTTTGTTTTTTGAGGTTTTACCAAAGCCTCAGAATCTCTGTGATCTTTTATGCAACTAAAAATACTGTCAATATTAATGCTTTGTTGTGGATCACATTAGGTCAGCAGTGGTTTTTTATAACTTTGTTTACAAAGCAGTGCAGATTCATTGCTGAATGTGTATGCTTAAGCATGTGTTGTAGATGCTGGTAAGTGTGTGAGGTTGTGAGTCTGTTTGTCTTCCCTGAGGGTATGCAGTACACAACATTCTATATATTTGTTAGATGGAGGGAGAGGAAGCTTCTTAATGTGATGATGAACTCCATCATCTGACATAATCAGGATGAATCAGTGCACCGTGTTACATAAGCAGATCCCCATCCTTACCTCACCCTTACCCAGATTAGAAACACAGCAGACACAGCCGCCTACAGCCTGCTGATACCTGCCTGCAGCCTGGAGGACTGACGTGATAACAGAACACTGACATCTAGAGGTCAAATGCTGATATCAAACATAGTGCTTTCTCTCTCTTGGAAAATGAAAAATGTGTTTTCACTTTCTTTGAAAACCCCAAATGACTTGAAACGGACAATTCTTCCTAATCTTGCTGTAAAGCAAACAATATTTAAGGGCAGGGGTATAAAACATTCAGCCCACTGGAGGGTCCAGTTTGATGTACTAATGACTGAAAAATGCAGTTTTGCAGTACTGACAAGGACATAAATCGTGGCCTGTTGTGCAAAAAGAGTAGTAAAGTAACTAATAAACCATTAAACAAAAAAATATATATATCATTGCTGACAAATATCATAGTATTTCTCAATAATTTTGAAGTCCCAGCTTTATGGTTTTGTGATTTATTTGTATTTATTTTTTATTTATTTATTTTTAAATCAGGCTCGACTGACCAACAGTTTTACAGAATTAAAAGTCTTTATTGTTGGAATTAAAACAATCTTAAAAATTCTTAACACAACAATGCTAACAACGCTCTTTTGAAACAAAAATATTTTACAAATAATATAGTATCTTCTGCTGTTGTAAAAGATCGTGACAATAAATATGTTGCTTATTTTTTAATGACAATAGAGAGCTCAGAAAAATACTGATTATTTACAGCTTTAGCAAATGCTTATTTTTAAATAAAAATATGTTTTAAAAAAATAAACCAATATTAGTTTGCTTCACATATAATTTAAGTCATATTTCTATTACCATTTTGGACACACCAGCTCATGGGTATGGGTCAGTGTTTCTCTTTCTGACTGCATGATGTTTAACTGTTGTGTCACATCAGTTTTGTGGTCCTTTTAAACTGTATAGAACCCAGTGTAATAGATTTATAGTTATCAGATACTTTGTAAGGACATAAAATCATACTGCAGTGCAGTATTCTTTCTTTCCCTTGCACAAAAAGGGGGAATTAAAAAAATTAAATTAAATTAAACATTGATATTTGCACTTGGCCAAAATCTGCCAAATATCAGTACTTCATCTTGCTTTGCCTGTAAGGGGAACAGAATTTGAGATGACTATATCATCTCAGTGTTGACATAATTAAGCATGGCTAATAAGCACTCGTGGCTTTGTTCATAAGCTGAGAGTTCTGGATACACTGTTGTGTGTCATCTTGTAACCAATGTTACAAACACTTTTAGGTCTTTTTTTAGTGTTTAAGTCCACTGTCTGTAAACCCACAGTGTGTACAGTGTTTGTAAAAGCGGCTCTTATAGTTTTAGACATGCTTATTTTACAAAGGTTGTCTTCTTCTGGTTGACATGCTGCCAGGTTAAGTTAGGACTTTGATTTAAGGTTTAAGGTAACTGTTGTGCTCAGATATGTAGATGTGATGGTTAAAGGGTACCCAATATTATCTGCCTATCTAATATTGTCTGTCAACAATGGTGGATGCTCATGTTAAATAAGGCTAAGGTTTCACGTATTGAGGTCAGTGTACGTGTGAGTAATCCTATCAGCTAAATGTTCAGGTGTCAGACTTTCAGTTTCTACAAGTTCTTTTGTATGATGTCACAGAGGTAGATATCTCTAAAACGGTCATTTTAGCACAAAAGCCCCACACGAGCAGCCAGTCATGGTAAAGCTGGCTTCTTTGAGACCAGGGATAACATGAGGCGTTGCACCAAGATTTAATATAAGATGAAGTTTTGTTTTGAACTGTGACTCATGCAATGTTACTACAGCAGAGTTTTATAATAAAAATAGACGTGGTGCCCTTCAAGAACAGGGAAACACCACTGAAGGTTCTCAAAATTAAAATATGTGTAATAGAGAGAGACAAAGGAGATAAACCTGCTACAGTGCCTGCAGCAAGTCCCCTGCTCCATCTTTTTTCTGTGGAGTACTCCTCTAATTACCGGTGCTTCAGCAATTACTAATGGTCACTCTTTGAGTGACGGATATCAATCATTTCTGAAGCTGAAGGGTTTTCAATTAGATTTTGAGTTAGACCTATCTCATTTGTTTTGTAAGTATACCAAAAACATCTACACCGGATGAGTTTTGAGGTCCTACATTCAGACAAAATTTGTCTACTTTTTAATTAAAATGTCCTATAATGGCAGAGGTGTAGATTTGTGTATATGCGAGAGCTTTAGTTGTGTCTCTTCATGTGCAGAGCCAGGTGGTCTGAGCGAGAGAAGGCTCTCTGACAGAGCATACACTGGTACGGTTTCTGACCCGTGTGCTTGCGGTAGTGACGTGTCAGCTCATCCGAGCGGGCAAATTTCCAGCTGCAGCCCTCCCATGAACAGTGGTAAGGCTTTTCACCTGATAAAAGATAATAAAGCAGATAGCAGTTTTTTAAAAAAGCATCATTTAAACCATGAGTTAAGATCAGTTGTTTCTGTTGTTGGTTACCTGTGTGGGTGCGGAGGTGAGCCTTGAGGTGCGAGCTCTTGGTGTAGGTCTTGCTGCAGCCGGGGTATTCACATCTGTGGATGGCTGGTCTCTTTTTCCCCGTAGCTCTTCTGCCACGCTTCCCTTCCAGCCCACTAGGGGGCACCTGTTGTCCAACCAGCAGAGGCTGCTGGTGCAGGGGCAAATGCCCCTGGCTGTGGTTGTAGTCACAGTAAAGGCTGGCAGTGTGGTTAAAGTGGGGCAAGTAGCGGTAGTGTCGAGGGTCAGGAGTCACAGGCTGAGGTCGGATGAACCTGTTTTCAGGGATGGCCACCACGGGAGGCTGTTGCTGTTGGTGGTGGTGGTGATAGTAGGGGTTGAAGTCCCATTGTGCAACCTTACTGAGGCTTCCTCTGCTGTGTCTTTCAACACTTCCTCCTTGGGAGAAGTCAAACTGATTTACGTTATGCACATTAGAAAATAAAGTTCGACCTGTTTGATCGTCATTAAAACTACGCTGGTACAGCTCTGGCTGGACTGTGGTGGTTTCAGCAGGGGACATGAGCTCAGCCATGAGGCCGCCGCTGTTCATCTGTAGACTCTCCTGTCCTGATGGGTCCTTAAGCACACTCGTCTCTTGGTATGCAGTGTTTGGGTCAAACTGCGGAAGCAGTTGGTTGCTGTTGTTGAGAGAGGGGCTAGGGTCGGGGGAAGGGCTGCGCCACTCTGACAGCAGAAACTCAATGTCCCATGATGCTTGGCTGTCATCATCCAGGAGCTCCTCTGCCATTTGTTCAGAGACCTGCAGTTGCTCAGAGCTCTTTGGTGACAGTTTAGTGCTTGGGGAGTCCAAAGGGAGAGACCCATCTGACTTACACACCTGTTGGAGAGAATTTTAAGATCATGAAAACCAAGAACATCCTTAAATGTTCACAGAGGGTATTTTCCAAATATACAAGCAAACTAGATTACTTATTTTGTTTACCTCAGAATAACCAAATAATAATATAAGCCCATAATAAATTCAGCTGAATTTCATCGAATGAGTAGATTTTCTTAGCATTTGCACCAGTGAGTCAAGCTTCTTGCTTAGGGCCACAAAGCGCCTAATCTGATTTAAAACGGACCAGACCAGTAAAACTGTTGCGTAATAACCACTGTGAGATGGTTTGAGAAAACTATGTGCAATTTCAATAATATGTCTCAGTTTTTCTATGTGCAGACAGACTTGTGTTATCACATGTACATTACAATTTGTAGATCACAATGGATCTGCAAAGCCACAAATCCTCAAGTGTAGAGTATTTTTGAACTTCAACAATATTATTTTTAGTTCTGTATAAAAAGAACAGCTTCCGTCTCAACATACTTGTATCTTTATGGACATTTCCACTCTGTTCTGTTACAAATTTGAATTTTTAATGACTGTTATTCAATTGTAAAACTTTCAGACTTTGCAAAGTCACTGTTCTTTATTACTGATTTAATTTCGTTTAGTTTCTTTCACATAATAGTAATTTTTGTTTTTCAGATTGCCAGAAATAACAAAAAAAATGCATTAATTTCTGCCCACTGTGGTAATAGATGCTGGTGGCTCTCATACACGTGTATTATTCTAATACAAATCCAAAGCTATCATTAAACATATTCAATAAATTATTTATTAAGCCAACAGTTTTGCTCCCTGCAGACTTTCTTTACATTGTGATTTCATTGCTTTTTCATATAAAGCAGCACAATCCACAATACAATAAGTGAACTCAATTGGAACAACAGCAAAATTTTACAAAAAGCTACCAAGTGTAAATACGATTTCATTTAACTTCATCTTGAAACTGTATGCAGTATATTTTTAGAGCCCTTTAGAACAAACAAAAAAACTTACAAGTCATTTTGGTAGCAGTTTAATTTTGAGCATTATTCCGTCACTTTTGTAGTAAAAGCAGACACATAAGTATTAAATGGTCACACTACATGAAAGGTGAGTCACTATATTTCGCTAAAAGAATCAAATATTTGAAGTGAACATGCTACTTACTTTCATATTGTCAGTGGAGTGAGAGAGGTTGGAGAAGGAGCTGAAGGAAGGGAGCACAGCCTGGGTAACAGCCATCAAGCAGTCTGATATGGCAACAGGTGTAACAAGAACAGGAAAGTTTCTCTTTTCTTTTGGATACTTCTGTATTTTATTTATTTTTTTACATGCCCACCTCACCCTCAGCTAACAGGAAGTCAGACTCCAGCTCACCAGGCCTCTCATCCCAGTTACAGTCCACTCAGTGCAAACAGGCCACAGAGAACTGCCTCCTTTTCGTCATTGCTTGCCTGCTATCTCTCCCTCCTCTCTCTTGTCTATCTCTGTCAGCTGCAAGTCTAACTTCAAATCTCTTGTTTTCATGTAGGTTTCGACCGTTAGGAGGTGGAGCATACGTGTAAATTACTTCTCTGGTTCCTTTAAGACCGGTCATTTATAAACCCTAAGAAACTCTACTATCTGACCTCAGCACACTGTCTTCCTGTTGTGTGGGATTCAGAGCAATAAAACCTGAAAAAACATTGAGCATCAGGCTGTCCTCTCACCTTTTACATGTGAGGAAAGACCAAACAACCTTCGCTTATGCAATTAAAAGCTAAAATTTGATGAATCATTATCAGTGAAATGGTCACTGACGTGAATATGCTCAACAATCATTTTACACTCATGTTTTTAAAATTCTTAAAGTACGTTTTTACAGATGTTTATTTCACAGAGGAAAAAGTTGGGATCAAATAGCAACACACACATTTTTTTAAGGCTTCACAGGGAGTCAAATGATGATGAGGATTAAAGCAATAGTTGTTAACTGTTTACGCATTAAACACGAAAGAAACATTTTTGGTTTGTCACTGGAAACTTTTATTTTGTAAGTAGAATATGTCAAAAAGGGAAAGGGGGAAACTGTTTTACAAAATTAAACAATAAATTAATATAAATTTGCGTATGTGAGTTTGAATTTGTATAATTTGGCATTTGTGTAGCACTGCACGTGTCTGACAGTGTACATCAGGTATTTCAGGGAAACAAAATCATGCTAATGATGTAGAGCTAAAATGTATCAAATATGATACACTAGCCTTAACAGGATTAAACAGCTGCTCCATCAAAACTGAACGAGTAGTTTTAAAATGATACACAAAATAATAAAATCATGATAATTAGATGGTAACAGTCACTGCAAATAGTTGCAAATAAATAAAAAAAAGGGGAGAAATAATGCTGAAAACATCTTCTAAGTTTACTGAACTACCATCCATACTTTTGAATGTCTACACAAATGCCTTTAAAGTGCAGTAAAATTAAGCCTGTAGACAAATGGCGCACACTCAGTTATTTTTCATTCACAAGTAAACAGATCATTGGCTGTTATCAGATGAAAGGCCGCTATCTATTTAAGCACGCTTTGGCACAAAGTCCAAACTGTGTGGGCACACATACAGAGACGTTTTATGCACGTTTAATGTTGATAGACATGTTAATTGAAAAAAAGAAAGCATACATGATTTGAAAAAGCAGCTTGCATACTTTTAATATGATTGTGTAAATACCTAAAAACAGGTGACTGGCATATAAACATATACTAAAACAAATAATGGATATGTAGTAATTTTAATTGTTTGACTCTACAGCAGAAAGTGAACCTCTTCTTCTGTTTTTGCTGCTTACAGTTTAACACACTTGTGCACACAGGTTGTGTCTGTATTCCCAGCGAGGACGTGTGACTTCTGAGAAGACCTATGTGTGAAAGGTGATTATATTCTGGCTGCTGTTTATCTGCAGACATTCAGCAAATGCGGGCTGCTGTATTTCCACAGATAATGATGCCCTGACTGCTGCTGACCCCCGATGACTTGCCCGCCACTGATAAAGACTCTCTCTTGAGAGTCTTCCGAGTGACGACTACACATAAGACATTCACTATGCAGGTTGAAAAAATATGCAATGATCGACTGCTTTATAGACACATTGAATCGTACATGTACAATGACAATAAAGGGCCATTCTATTCTATTCTATTAAACAAGTTCAATTTAGGCTGTTTATTTGTCACTTTCAAAGGCATTGACTGAAAATGCTTTTGTTTGAGTCTCACGATTGGTAATTAGTTTGCGTTACTCTTAATTATTTTTTTTTAAATCCCTTGTAGTTTTGATGATATAATGTCAATATCTTAGGGATCCATATGAGTGTTTTGTTCTATAAAAATGGTATTTAGCTATTAATTTGGTTGTTATTTCTTGCTTTCTTTTTTTTTTTTTTTTTTTACCGGATTACAAATGTTTAATAGACTCTTGGTGACAAAACTAAAATAAATGAAAATAAAATCAATAACTGATGGAAGCCATTAAAACGGTAATAAAAATAATAATCTGTCTCCCTCTAGTGGCCATAGTTGACACTGCACCACTGTCTTGAAACCATTGGTAAGCGTAAAATATCTTTTAAAAAAGATTTTAAAAACGTGGAGTCTTATAGTAATAATTTTCTGTCTTTCCCTCTTTTTTTTCTTTTTTTTAAAAACATATTTCAGTGAGTTAAAACAGGGCTTTTGTTATTTAGTTGCTATAGCAACATAGTGTTACTGCCGTCTTCCTGAGTTTGAAGTTGGTCTCCTTTTTTAAAGACTGGCCTTTCCTTAAAAAACAACGAGGTATGCTTTAATAATGTTATTAGTGTTTAATATTAGATTATTAATATAATATTTAGTTACAATATTTGTCTCGTAGATTAACGGGTTTTTTTCCGAAGCTTTAGGTCGTGTTGAAGTCATTCATAGATCACAGCGATGAAGTTCACGTTAAATTCAGGAATAACAGCATCATAAATTGAACTAAAACAATGGTTTTCTGGGTTGTAATTTGTGTGTTTTAGTTTGCAGATGGAAACTTCCTCACAGGCTTCAGCTAGCAGGGGATTGTGGAACAGCCCCAGAGCCACACAGTTCAGCAAGGAGACCCAGGACATGCTGAGATGTAAGCTGTGCTCCAAAAAATCTGAGCTCACTAAAGAAACATTAATAAAAACCTTCAATTTTGCTCTAGCATATTCTAGCATGCATACATGATGATATCAGTGCAGCAGTTTGAACTAGAAATACAGTGTTGACAGGCTGGAATCAGCCCGCCACAGACTGCCCAGCTTTGTTCAACCTTGATGTGTTGATAGTTTTGAATTACTTACTACGTCTTCAAGCAATTCTTCCAAAGGTTTCAGGCATGTTGGAGTTAAAACCTCAGATAAATTGTCCTGGGTCAGAGGGAAGTTGGGGTTTCCAGATTTGAATATACCCACCAGCGTTTTTCACTCTGAGTGTGAGGCACTTCAGTGTCATTGTCAGTCCTGTAAACACACCATGTGAGCTTTTCGTGGTCAGAACATTTGTTCTTCATTTTGCATGTCCTCAAATTTTATGAAGATATGAGAGATTTTATGATCCCGCTATAGAGCTGTGTCTGTGTTTCATTTACCGTTGCTGAGGCCTGTGCTGTGTACTCTTATTGTTCTGTTTCTGTGCTCAGTGTTGAAGCAGGAATCAAGGGTCACCAGCCTCAAGAGAAAACAGATCAACAATCAGCCAAAGAGTAAGTTTGTTAAAGGTCTGATACTGTCTCATGGAGTATTTTCTTATATTTATACTTAAGATATAGTTGTAAGTTAATAACAATATTCCACTCTGTACATATGACCTGTTGCTAAATACCATCATGATTTTGGCCCTTATGGTGCCATATACTGTTACTATTGGACTTCAGATTGATTTAACACTCGGGCATGATGTGCTGAGAGCAGGTGTACCTGATATGGTTGCCTAAATTATGTGGTTCACGTTGTAACTCCCACCTGCTGTTCAAATCTGTTTGTAAGGAGCAGACACCCAGGGTCTGGATTGGAGGGACAGTGATCTAGGCAGAGATGCCCAGATCTCCCTTCTCCCAGCCACCACCTCTTATTCCAAGTCATTCCCTGGCAAGCCAAGTGACACAATGTCCATAGCTTGTCTGTTCCGGGTCTCTTCCCAGACACTACCAAAACACCTCTCCGTCCTATTCAGATCCCCAACCTTCCTCAGCTGACTCCTTCTAGTGTGGAGAAACTATGTCTATACTCTGTACCCCTGTCAAATGATTGAGAACCTCAGCCTAGCCCAGGCACTGTTCACAAAGTTTCTTTAAACTGTGAATGCAAAGCTTTTCGGGAAGAGTCCCACACTTAAAATATGGGGTTTGAAAAAAAAGCATCCACAATTAGCAACGCTTCATTTTTTGTAAACAAAAAACTTCTGCTGCTGTAAAATTTTCTCCTTCAGATGAAACAGCTTTGCCTTTCACCTCTGATCCGGCACAGTCTTCTCCTCCTGGTAAATCTGTCCAGAAACACTGGCCAGTGCACACTCAGAAACGCACCGCCGAGGCATGTCGGTCTGGGAACAGCTACGAGAGAGAAAAGTTTCGTCCTGGTCCAACACGTACGTTCTTGAAACTGACATAAATTTCAGTTTATGTGTATATTGCATGTCATTGATCCCTTCAATTTTCCCCATTTCTTTCCTTTTCTTCTTCATTTATTCCATTTTCTGCACTCTGAGAAAAAGTCAGGCTCTGTTTTGCGGAACTTTTTCTTCATGTCACCCAAGGAGACCTAGAGAAAGAGAAGAGGAAGCTTCAGAACATCTTTGCACATGGGACTGAGCAGCCCGGAGCGGGATCTTCTCAGAAGCCTCCTCAACATCAGAGCTCAGAAATACCAAAGAAGATGGATCGCTATCAGGAAGGTGAGGCTGACTGCAGAGCAAAACAATGAGGTGGAGCGGTTACACCAGCATCATATTTGAATCTTAAAGGGACAGTTTAACCCCCAATTTTTCCTCTTGCCTGTAGCGCTGTTTATCAATCTAAATTCTTTTATTGGGAGTTGTTTTGTAGATTTCAGCTCCAGAAATGTCTGCCTTCTAGATTGTAATAGAAGTGCATGGAACATTGGGGTGTTTTTAGTGCAACAAAAGATACATTTGAAAAACGGAAATTTGTTTTTGTAGGGAATATTTTCTAAACCTTCTGACAAGATCAATATGCTCACTGATCCTCGGAGTAAGACCACGTTCTGTTTTTCCTGCAGTTCTGAATGAAATACAGGAAAGACAACAGTTTCTGGAAGACATGGCCTCCCTGGGTCAGGAGAAAGATTATATCGACATCATCAACACTGAGATATCTCAGGTAAACGTGCTTTCAGCCACTATTATGTTCATTTAGTATTGTATTTTAATATATATATTTCAGTGACGAGACAGATCAGTAGCATTTTAAATTGAACTAAGATATGATCAGATTCACTTAAATGTTTCCTGGCTCTAATAACAGAAATTACGAGAATTGGAGATAATGGAAAAATCCCACGTTCCCACATCTGATACAAACACAGAGAGGACAGAAAATGCAGCCAACAAAGAAGACTGACTGTTGTCTTTGACCGGGCGGTCTGCTTCTCTTCAAGCAAGCGACATACCTTCAGTCAGAGCAGAGACACACGCGCACGCCAGTGAATACAACACACATCTACCCAACTGTGTGAATTTCTTTTATTCCTCTGCCTCCCAGTGTCAGTATTTCACACAGTCCTGCTGCCGTTTTAGGACAATGTACAAGATGACAAAAATGTGGTGGCACAGAAGCCCTTTGTTTCAGCTGGACAGGAAGTTAGGCACAGAGCAGAAACAGACAACAGACACAGCCACACAAGACATATACATCATCTAAGAGACGAGAACACGAACAGAATGAGTAAACGCGTTTACATTAGCTCGAACTAACGATGTATGCAATAAAATAAATGGCACTCGATATAAACTAAGGCAAAACACACACGCACAAAAAGGCATAGTAAAATATAAATTAATGATTGCATACCTCAGGTCCATCCTTCGATAGTTAAAACCGTTATAAACTGGGCTTTTGCTACAGTTGATAAAATACTGTATACTTTCTTCTTCTGAAATTCAATATTGCATCTGTTACCTTCCATAATAAAAGGACGCCTATCCTGCTTTTCCTTGGAAAATGAATAAGTCCCGTTTAAAACTAACCGGCAGTTTGTTTTTTGTCTGCAGTTTCGTTACTGGTCTAATTTTCTCCTCCAATCTAACCCACTTATAAATACTATATCTATGTTTGTGTAATGCTTTGATGACAAGCACCAACACAATTGTAAAACTACTACTGAAGAAACTAAAATACACACAAACACAAATAAAATATGTGTATATATATAGCAGCTAGAAGTCTTTGATTGAGCTTTTCAAGAGTAGATGCTGCAGTTTCAAGCAAGTTTCATCGGGAAAAAAAACAACAAAAAAGACAAACTTATTGCTACTAGTACCATGGGCTCAACCCAAACATGATATAAAACCTCAAATACGTGCACCTTTGAAGGAGCAAAGGAGACCACTACTCAAGAGGGTGTAAGTAAAACTAAAAACATTAAAAACTCAAGGATATCAGGGATCAACGTAAGCTGACATATCACATCTTTGCTGAAGGCCTATAGAGCAGAGTCACTGTGCAATGCAGGGATGTTAAAGCAAAAAGTAATCAGTGCAGTAATACAGAAACCCACCCAACATGCCACTAGTTTGAATATTCAGAGCCTAAACTTTTTAAAGCACTTGCTGTCAGACACTAAAAGGCAACTGAAAATAGTCACTGAATGAGTCTTGGTGCTTAAAAACTGTTTGAGGAGATGTCATAATCTTCTGTCAAAATTCTTTAGTCTTCTTAAAATAGTAGTCCTTCAAATATCCTCTTGAGCTAGACGTGTCCTCTGCTGTTCAGCTCTTCTCCTTACGTGGGCTGGGACTCTTTCCCGGTTCTCCTTTATGGCTCAGACGCTTGAGCACCTTGATGGGTTTAAACTTTGCCCCTTTTTTCTTCTGGTGATCGCTGTCTGGATCCTTCTGAAAGTCTGATGAGGATTAAAATAAGAAATAAAACTGCATTAAAAATTTAAAGGAAGGAAAAGAGTGCCTTCATGAATCTAATGAAACATCATCGCACCTTTTTTCTTCAGCATCTCTTCCATAAGTTTGTCCTCTTCTTCCTCCCTGTGACAGAACCACAGTTAGACTCCTGCCAGTCTCTACACAACACAGATGCACATGAACTGTCTGTACTCGATTACCTCTGCCTGTCCTCGTCCATGCTGTTGACTATTTGGTTGCGCTGTTCAATGATGGTAACCAGCTCAGCCATCAGCTCCTGCTCCCGACTCTTGTCATCCTCGGTCCAGTCTTTCTCTGATGAGAGGAAAGAAGAAATGGAAGAAGCAGAGCATGATTAATAATTTAATCTGTTGTTTTATTTCAATTATGTACACGTTGTAGGTGTTCACAAGGTTTATAAATTATTGATGCAAAAGCAGAGCAGCATTCACTATAAACTAAATGCACATCCACCATCCTGTCAGGTCAGCAGGGAGTCCTGATTAATAAGTCTTGGAGTGCTGGAGATACTGACATTTCATTCATTGCACAAACTAACCAAGAGATTCTTAATAATTCAAACTGAAGATTGATTTTTTTTTTTTATGTTCTTTGAGTACTTCAATAATGTAAACAATAATTTTACAGAATATAGTTACTGGGAGCCACTGAAATGAAACTGGATTGGGCATTTAATGGTTTTTACCTTCCTGTACATGTGAGAAAGGCCAGTCTGGATAACGTTCTAACCCAGTTATTATACAGATGATACTAGGAGAGAAAAGATATTGACTGAGGACAGATGGAAATGTCTCAAATACCTGGTTTGTTGAGAAGACACCTCAACTCGTACTCCACATCAGCCTGCCTCTCCTCCAGGTTCTGCTGCTTCGCCCTGCAGAGAGCAACACATTAAGCAACAATAAGTTCAAAAATCTAACTTCACGCTTACTATTCTGAGCATCTGTCTACAGGGTTTATATGTAAAAATAAAACCAACCATGACGTTCCTAAACTGTAAAATTTATATCTTACGTGTAGACCAGCTCAGCTTCCCGTCGGACAAGAAGGTGTTTATCATGAATTAGGGTGAACCAGTCCACCAACAAGTGCTCCTCATCTTCATCTAAATGAAGAAAGGGTGAATAACAAATATTAGTACTCCTGTCATTTCTGACAGAGAAGCAGATTTGCTTTTATTACTTAGAAATGACTATTTAAAAAAAAACAAAAACAAAAAGAACAGAACAGAAAGCTGGTCTTCACTGGACTTAAAGTGCTGTAATGTGATACCGTTTGGATTGTCTCTGAGCTTCTTCTCCAGCTCCACTCCCCTCTGCTCCAGCTCATCCAGCTGCTTCTCCAGCTGACTCATCTCCCCATGGATGTCCTCAACTGGGATGTATTGATCTGACTGCACCTGGAAGGATGTTTGAATCACATGACTACTACTTCATCTGTTTTACTCTTAAGTGATGATGTCATTTCTGTCGGGTTTATTTCTGTTTTTAATTAGTCCGTTTTTATTTTGGGGGGTTATTTACCTTGCGTTTAATAAGTGGGAAGCCATGACCGGGAGCCGGGGGTCTAGCAGGACGGGGGCCTTTTGGCGGTCTGGTTTTAGAATTGGCAGGAGAGGGCGAAGCTTTTCGGTTGAAGGGGTTCTCTTTACATATCCGCTAAAAAGAGAAAAGATGCAGTTGGATTTTTAGTATGTGCAAAGTGTATTGATATATAAATTGTCTTCTGTTTGGAGGTGGCGCCATTACCTTGTTTTGTGACTGGGTGGCCTCTGAGGCCAGTGGGCTGGGGTTGCTGGGTCGTGGTGGTGGAGGTCGAGGAGCCTTGGTCACTGGGTTGCGACTGGTCTGTGGAGTGGCTGGAGCTGAGCTGGCATTTGCTGGTACTGGAGAAGGGGCGGGGCTTGGAGAAGGCTGACGGAGATGCTCAGTCGAGGAGGAAGAAGGGGAAGGCTTGGAGTCGTTCGGTGAGCAGATGGAAGGCTCGGAGACGCTTTTGGTGAAGTTGTGTTCCTGGTCGCTGCTGCCACCGCCAGCTAAAGGGAGCTGAGAGGAGCTGTAGTCTGAGCCTGAAGACAAACTCTCTGTACTGAGAGCTGGAGAGGGGGAGCAAGAGGAGGACTGAGAATGAGAGAGAGCTGAAGAAGAGAAAAGTTTTTGAAATAATTAAAAAAAAAAAAAACAGCAGGGACAGAAGAAATGCAAGAGGAATAAAAAGTAGTTTGAAATGTTGGAATAAAGAGGATAAGGGGAAAGAAAACACATTATTTTTAGCATCTATTAGCAACACATCTCTTTTCAACTATTTTTAGTCTGACTCTTTAGAATAATTTTTTTATTACTATTTTTATCAGCTGTGTACATAGTTTCCGCTCACCTCTTTTGAAGTGACAACTTGTCTGTTAAATTAGAGGTTGTTTAATTTTACATCAGACAAACTAATCTAAGATTAAAGTGACTAACAACAGCACACACACTTCACACTTCTATACTGCACACATTTTTGAAGATTGGATGCTCAAAGTTGGACAAATGTGCTTTTTATCTATTAAATGGATAAAATGGAAAGTAAAACACAATATTATAAATCACTGGGTTGTAAACTTGTAAATTTCAGTCTTGATCAATGACGATCAGGCTTTGCAACTGAAAATCAAATATGAATTTACTTTTGTCCTGTTACATGTAACTCCATATACCTGGCAGTTTAACTAGAGACATAAATAGAGAGTGAACAAATAAACTGAGGAAATTCTGTTGCACAATAGTGCTTGCACCCCTTGCAGAGCCAATCAACAACAAACACTTTGTCAGTAGTTGCACATATCTGCCTGAATACATTACCAGGATGGCTCTGAATGGTGACCCTTATGTTACTATGAAAAGTACCATGCACTGCGTGTTCAGTGTCTCTACTATTGTTCAGCATATTTAGACGCATCTGTCTTTTCCAGACACACTAGTTAGCTCATCATCAATCACTTCCTGAGAGCTGTGTTACAAGTTAGAAGCACATTTCCATGGCGAAATGACCTCATTCACGATGAGTCAAGTACTGATAAATTACAAAAATATGGATAAGTGACATAAACGTAAGAGTATGCCCCCTGAAAAAGTCAATCCTAGTGCGTAATTTTGGGCACAGCCATGTTTCATAAGGGACTCTGCTTTCATACAGTTTAACTGCACAGTCATATTAGTGTTTTCATCTATAAACTTCAAAATTCTCAGCTCTTTACACTGAGTTTAGAAACCCACTGAATCAGGTGGCACTAAAGAAAATGACCTATGTTTCTTTCTGTAATTTCTTTACAAACATTTGATAAAACATCAAATAGTTAAGTTACTGTTTGATACTTGTAAAGCACAAAGGGGATGCTCTTGGTGTTTGTGGTTCTGATAAAACTGACCTTGGTTACCGGTGGGTGGCCGAGGAGCACGAGGTGCAGGCCGTTTCTTGCTCTTGGTGCTTGCAGGACTGACAGAGCGGGATGAACTTCGTTTATTAGTGGGAGTGTCTGCACCCACTGCGTCTGCTGCCTGAGTGATGCTGTACCATGGGTGACTAGACACCACCGTAGGTGGAGGTGCTCCTCCCTCACTCCCTTCTTCCCCATTTCCCTCGCTATTTTCGTCGTCCTCGTCCTCGAACGGGTTGGAGGACTGGGGGGGCGTGCTGGGTCTGGAGCCCTCCCCTTTGAGAGAGGACAAAGAGCCTGTGTTTGGAGGTGTTGCCAGTCCAGCAGGGGGAGGGGGAGGGGCTGGTGCTTTCTTCTTCTTGGGTTCTGACTGAACCAGTGCGAGCCAAGGTGGGTCTTTGGGTTTATGGGTGCCACTGAACAGTGAAACACAGATAGTGATGGAAGGGAGGGTCACACAGAGGAAGACAACAAAGTACATCCACATGGAAGCATGGAGGGTTAAACAATTACAGCAGACACTGCAACAACATGACAAACACTATGGAGGTGTGATTAACGAACGTGAAATGGCATTTAAGATAAATTCAGCTACCTTGCAGGAGACTGTGACCTTCCTCTGGGTTTGGGAGGAAGTGGAAGCTTCTGAGTTTCACCTGTGATATTAGGAAAAGCGTTGAGCATGACTATAAACAAATGATTCTGCTATTTTTAGAAACTTACTGTGCAAAAACGACTTACCGACTGCAGGACCGTCTGCTGTGCGGGAGAGTCGAGCTCGTGGCACAGGGCGAGGTGGAGGGATGGGATCAGAAACCCGGCGGGGTGCAGGCACTGGCCGACCGGTAACCTCAACGTGAGGTGTAGAAGGGAGGTCTCCATTTGCTGTGTGTTTGGCTGGTGTTTGAGTTTCTTCTTCTTCTTTCTCTCCCTCCTCCTCTTCATCGTCGCTCTCATCGAAAGGGTTGGGAGGTGTGGCAGATCGTGGTTTCTCCTCTGCTTCGCTGGTACTGTCTTCATTTGTTTTTTCTAAACCGTCTTTGCTTGTTGTAACGGGAGCGACCGTGACCGAGTCATCGGCTGGAACGTCAGAATCGTTCGTTTCCTGTACTGGAGTCTTTGCCTGGCAGCCATCAGAGGGCGCCGTGTGAGGAACTGTGCTGCGACCGGTCCTAGCAGACTGTCCCGACGCTGGTCTCTTACTAAGATCGGGCTGGCCATTCTGGTTGGATAAAGCATTCCTATTAAGGTGATGTGCACAGACAAGTGCCCCAGAGTTGCTTTCTAATTTGTAGGATCCATGAAGCAGTGTCCTGTGACACTCAGTGCACCTGAGAAAACAAAGAAACAAAAACAGGAAGTGTGACGAAAAATAAACAGTTGTTTTTTGTGACCTGTTTGCAAAAAGGATTCACGCATTATTAATGTATACCAAACACCACCTACAGTAGATATATGAATTGAAAATGTTCAACAGGTGAAACATAAACATTTCTTTCTCACGATGTCACAGGAAACCGGACACACCTGTTCTGACACGATAGCTAATTTTAGCTGTAGTGTGAAGCCTATGTGCAGCTGCTACAACTCAGGGTGAAATATTAACTGTTGTGTCCACCAAAAATATGTGACCAGCTCTTTGAAAAGCTGAACTTCTTGCATCTTCAATCAGAAAAATAGCACCCATATCATAGTAACTGTTACTGAAAGTAATCAAAACAAAAAGATTTATAAACAAATAGCTAAGGGGAATTTACTGATATTAAAAGAAATAAAAAATAAAAAGTAATGCAATGGCAAATACAAATAGTAATAACTGTTATAATATGTTATAAATGTGTAATAAGTTGTAATAAATGTTTTCTAATTGACAATTTCTTTTAAAACAAAAAGATAAAGCATCCAGTTCAAGTGTCTTACTCACACACAAATCTGAATCCATCACTCGATAGTGCACAGAATCCTCTGTCACAGCTTGACTCAATAATTCGGGTCTTGTTTTATCAAGTTTTTAAATTGTTTGGCGGCCATACCCAGAGGGAGGGAGTAAGCCTTGAGGAGAGGAGGTGAGGACGTACAACACGAGAAATGAGTAGAAAGGGAGCGCTCACTTGAAACAGTTGCGATGGTAGAGCTTGCCGTCCACCAAAAACCTCTGCACCAGGTGGACGTGTTTCTGGCAGGCGGCGCAGGTGCTGCTGAGAGTGCTCCGCTTGACTGCCGCAACCGCTTCGGTGCCTGTCTGCACGGACTGGATCGGCAAGTACATGCGACCGGGGATGTTGTTCGCAGGAAGGGGGACAGGGAGGAGACATCAGGGGAAGGGGGAAGATGGAGAGTAATGGGGGAGGGGGGAGATCATATACGGAGTCAGGATTTGAGGATGTGGATTGTTCATTCTGTTTAGCTAGCTACATCTACTTGGTTATCTTATTTTTGGAGTTCAAGTGAAAACATAATTTGATTGATTAAAAAAGTGTGTTAAAAAAATCAAAAGAATGAAATGTTAAAAAGATGTTTATTAGTAAAAAACAACCCAAACAGCTTTGGTTAGTGGCTCTGGGAGTCACACATTTGGGATACAGTTACTCTTTAGGACTGAGATATTGCATTTTTTTTGTTTGTTTTTTCTAGGTGTTAAGTAAATATAGGGGTTAGAAGCAGCATATTTCAAAACTTGGCACACAGTGTTAAGAAACTACAACTGTTAGTCTTTTATCCATAGGAGACTGTTAAGAAAGACTGACCTAACAGTTCTCTTTCACCTCCAAGCCCACCCTCCCACCCCCACCCTACTGCCTAGGCTCAGGACCAGAGAGCGGAGGGGGGGTGAGATGTGAGGACGGAGAACAGGAAGAGGAGGGAGTGGAATGAATTTCCATCTGAAGAAGGGAGGAAGGGCAAGTGGGGGAGTGATGAGGAGAAAAGCAGTACATGGGAGTACGGGATGGAGGAAAGGTGTTGAAGGGCATGCGAAAGAAAAGAGAGACAGGATACAGAGGCTATCTTTATAGACTTATTCTACTGCCATTGTTGGGCTTTTTCCCCTGCTGTGCAACACATAGCTCACATAAGGAAGTTGACATAAAAATCCATATTTGGATATTCTACACTTTTGTAGTAAAAATAGCAGATTTACACGATGTAATAACTCCACATAGTACATGCAAAATGATTGTTAAATCTTTCAAGGCTTCAAATGTCATTTCAGTGGGATTATCCACTCCATAACAGGCCATCATAATCAAAGTATTTTGAGTGATCTACAGCTTGCTACCATGCAAACTCTAGTAGACACCATGTCAAGCTCCTAGACGTTAATTAGGCCTAATATTCCCAAACAGATAAAAGAATAAAACGCTTCTCCTGGTGCCAAGTCTTATATACTTACCTCAGTCTTATCTTCCAGAGGAGTTACAGGCCTTTTCTGGGCTGGCTCATTGAGACCAGCAGTACTGAGCCTCTTCATACAAGGAGGGTTTGCTGTGGTAGAGAAACAAGGGGAAGCCAGTTAATGGCTAATTTCTTGTATCCATTATTATCACACCCAAAATTTAAGCTGTTGTGCAGTCCAGTTTCTTCTGAGTTATGATGAAATGAGAAATGAAGTGAGACTTTTCATGAATGGCACCACTAAATTGAAGTGACAAATATACCCAGGTACTGGCCCCAACCCTCTAGGTTCATGTCTCCCTATTGGTAAAGTTGACCAAGTTGCATCTGTGGTTTCCCCCCTCTTTATTTTTCATTTATTCAAGTTATCAAACACTGAATGTGTTTGCTCTTTGTTCACTGGCATAGGCAGCAAAGAAAGTGGATGATGATGATGATGATGATATGACCCAATCACAGCACTTAAGAGTTGAAGGTGAAGACAAGAGAGACTAAACTGACATCCAATTAAAAAAAAGATTTACTTTTTCCTTTGATGATTGCTACAGTAGTGCATAAAAACAAAACACTGGAATATTTTTTTAAACCAACCCAACATACATTCTAGTTTGTTTTTTCCTTTACTGTCTTTTGTTTTTTAAACCCGTCAGAGTCATAGTCCAGCATCTTTGAGTGCAGCTGGGGATAGTAATCTCTGATATGCTCTGACAAGCTGTTTCATGCTGGAGGGCAACCGAAACCTGCTGCAGATAAAGAACTGGTGTATGTGTCACAACACTGAGCTCACCGAGGCTGCAAATAATAATAATAATAATAATAATAATGGATTGGATTTATATAGCGCTTTTCGAGGCACCCAAAGCGCTTTACAATGCCACTATTCATTCACTCTCGCATTCACACACTGGTGGAGGCAAGCTACGGTTGCCACAGCTGCCCTGGGGCAGACTGACAGAAGCGAGGCTGCCATATCGCGCCATCGGCCCCTCTGGCCAACGCCAGTAGGCGGTAGGGTAAAGTGGAACAAGGAGAACAAGGACTACTTTGACAAACTGCAGTTCAAGATCATGGAAAAGGAGTCAATCCAGGGATAAGGAAGATACTGGAGAGACAGCTTTTATATAATCACATTTACCGCAGTTTGCCACAAATGCAAAACATCTCTGCAGGAAACACTCATACCTAAAATATATCACTGAAAAAAAAAAGCTTACTGAGTCTGTAATAGCATATACATTAACAAGTAAAAGATTATACATGTGTATGTGACAGAATTCACACAGTTGCACGCACCCTGAGACTTGTTGTTGAAGAAGTTGTAATACTGGGACACGTATGTGATGATGCTAAGCCGGTCAGGCACTTTCATAGACACCATGTCTTCTGGGTCCAACAGGGCTGGAATCCCCAGTTCAGTCTCAGCCACTTCAAACGCCTTTCAATGAGGAAAAGAGGATAAGGGGAAAGGAAGTAGAAAGAGCAGGAAACAAAAAGAGATGTTGGCAATGAGACAGGAACCAGTGAGCTTAGATACAAGGCAAAACTTGAGTAAGAGCGAGGTAAACTGACCTCTTTTTTTATTAAAGATAAAAACCTTGATAAGCACAAATTTGGTAACAACTCAGCTTGTTCTGTTGTTGAAACCTAATGTGGTATCTTGGTATGACTTCTATCAGTATTTCATTTCTTTATTATTAGGAGTTGTAGTGGAAACTTGTGGGAGTGTGGTCTCTGTATTATTCAGGAGAATGGAAATGATTAGTGGTTAACCTTTCAATGCTTTAAGCACCTACAAAAAATAAATCCCCTCACTGCACTGAGCCTGCAGGAGAAATCTTATCTCAAGCCGAAATAAATAAAACCAAAACAAGTGGAAAAGCTTGACTGGATGTGGGTGAGAAAGTATGCAGTGAAAAAAAACAACAATCCGCCGTTTGCATGATGTTTACATTTATTCCTTTGAGAAAAACCAGCAGTGAGAAAAAAAAAATTTCCAGTGAAGAAATGATACTGCAAACAGCATTACATAACAACATACCAGCACGGTTCTGAAACAACGAGGCCTACAAATGCTGCACATCACAATTAAAGTGAAACTAAATCTAAAAATCCCCAAACATGTGGTTTCTAAAAACCAGTCTTAACCTCCCCACACCTACTATTAGATAGTTAAATTGAGAAACCTTATGAACACAAGCACACTCTCTCTCTCACACTCACACACACACACACAAATGCACACCATCTTGGTCGGCAGCTGCCTCCAAACACGTCATGTATCATTAATACTGTGTGCTGCTCAGTAACATTTAATATCTATTTATTATTATTATCATTATTATCGGTATTGATTTTATTGCAATTATCCACTTCACATGAGTACATGGTGATTCTTTGCAGTGATCCACAGCTAGCAGACTCAGAGTAGTGAGATTTAATGCTGCAGAGGCCTTGAGTCAGATACTATCCAAGTGATGGATCTTTTAACACTTTTCAGCCCAAATCGGGTCAGGAAGACTTTTCTCTTGCATTTTACACTTTGTAAGGCCTAGGATTTTTTATTTTTTGTTATTTTTTTGAGCATGGTGAGCGAGTGAAGTGAAACCAATATAGTTATTTCTGTAGTGGCAACCCAACAACCAAAACAGCTACTTGAGGGAAGCTAAAGTAGTTTCCACCTCGTGCTGAAAAATCTGTGGCTCACCATGACAAATACTTCTAACATTTTATTTTTGGATTTGAATCTAAAAACAGAGACAAAAACTGGGTGCACTGGATGAATGACAAAAATGAGGTGACACAAAAAGTCTGCAGCTTCCTTCTGGCTCGAATTCTCCTCACCCTGTCACCTATGACTTTCCTAAACAGACCACTCTAAAGTCTGTGACCTAAAGTGTCACCCAAGTGACACATCAACCCTCACCAGGCATCATCAAAAACCTGAAAAGATTGTGTAACACCAAAAAAAAAAAAAAGAAAATGTCTGCAACATTGACATTTGCTACCAATGTAATGTAATCCACAGTGATTCTAAAGGTTAACAATAACTTGAAACCTGCACAGTAGGAGCTCCTAGCTTGAGTCTCCATGTGACAGCAGTAACATCTAAACAGTGATTCAGCATTTAGTGAGTCTGTCAGCACCTCCTACATGAAAGGGGACTCAAAAGTCATTCCAGGAGACAATCAACCCCAAATACACTCATGAAACTCACAAATTGATCTTACATGGTCAATCAAACAGAATGCTTCCACATAATATTCACTCCAGACTAGACGTGACAATTACTTTCTTCCTTTATAAGAATTCTTTATAAGCTTTTCACTTCTCCTAACGCTGCAGGAATTGAAAAACAAACATTAAAACAACAATAAAGAACTGCCAAAGCTGAGCTCAGACTGAAAGGAGACTTCCATTTCAACCCTCAATGTTCTCCTGGCTTCAAAGCCATGTGGAAAAAAACAGCCAAGGAAATCAGATTTTTAAAGTTTTAGGCTGTATTTGATGTACTGCTTTACAAAGCTGCAAACTCTGCACTTTTGCACTGAAAATCTTCACTTCATGGTTTCTCCACAGGCTTATGTCAAGAATTTAGTTTTTTCTGACACAGAGTGCTCTGGCTTCCTCCCTCTGACTCTCTGCCCTTCAGCAGAATTAAGTAAGAGTCTCTCTTCACATCACGCACACACTCCACTTACACCCATAACATCTATGAGGAGTCAAACACATAATATGTTTCTGGCTACACATAAGCTAGGGATTTCCAAATGACTCAGGTTTCAAAATGACATCATTCAACACAGAACAACGTGTGCACAAAACATATAGTTGTAAACGTGACTCACCAGGCGGTTGTTCTCATAGACATTCTCCTTAGTCAGTGAGCCAAAATCTCTGCAATGACAGAAAAAGGTTACAACAACATTTAGGATAAGGCTGAAGATAAGGCAGCCAGCATAGTTCTATAGCAGCCCTGTTTCTACATACAACTTGCTCAACTATTTGCACTCATATTATAGACTATAAGCTATAATCTAAATAGATTATAAGCTATTATTTGCCTGACAGCATAACAAACTGCAGTGGTGAGCGGTTACAGCTCCCACCTACCACTGCTGACAATCTCAAAAACCGGCCTTAAATGATGCCTGATGCCTGATGCCAAAAAGAAAGAAGCAGCAGGAGCGATGGGCCGATAATTACAAGGCTCTGCTCTAAAATGCCCAGAGCAGGGATCTAAAGCCAGTTTCTCACCAGTAAACATCCTGCAGTAAAACTGGAAAAAATGTCTGAGGAGCTGTGGGATGAATGTGCATAAGTAAATGTGTGCAGTGGTCTTAGACACAACAGTATGGCAGGGGGAAAAAATAAGAAAAACCCACCATGAACCCAATGAGTGCTTGTGGAAACCATGTGGAACTTTCAAGAAGGCAAAATCCTGTGAATGAGCTCCGTGTTGGAGCCACACAAAGTGACCTCTGTTCTCTCTAATCTAATTCCCGTGGCCACAAACGCACCGAGCAGCAACTTTAATATCAGGGCTGTGTCAGCCCGAGTCCCCCGTGTCAGCATAACAGACATTGCCAAAATAAAAAGTGCAG